GCCTGAGTGCCCAGTGCCTAGCCCAGCTGAGAGTGTATTTTACAGCTATTTACCTCTGACTGGTGGTAAAGTGTAAGTCTACCTAAAACGTGTGCAACTGCCTTTCCTCCTCATGTATAGCCTAGTGGTTTTGGTAGGCAGAATTTTAAGAGGTCCCCATAATCCCTACCACCTGGTATTCACACCAGGCATAATCCCTTCCCTTTGGATATGGATGGGACCTTGACTTGATTCTAGCCTACAGAATATGGCGAAGATGAAGGGATTTTGCAGATGTAAGGCCCTAAATCAGTTGATTTTTAGCTAATCACAGGAGATTACGATTATGCTGGGTGGGCCTTACTTAATCAGGTGGTTACCCTTAAAAGAGAGATTGAGTCCGCCCTGAGATGAGAGATTCTCCTTGAGAACTCGATAAAATAAGCAGTCGAGTCACACTGATGAAGCTCATACAGAAAAGAATTATAATTTACCTCTAGAAGCCGAGGGCGGCCTCCAGGCAACAATTATAGGGGCACGAGGAAATGCATTTTGCCAACAACCTGAATGAGCTTGGAAACAGATTCTTCTCCAGGTGAAACTATGGCCTAGTGGACAACCTGATTGCAGTCTTTCGAGAGCCTGAGCATACCTGGATGGTCCTAGAGTCTGTCTGCCTAGGACCATATCTGGATTTCTGACCCAGAGAAAATGTGACCTAATGACTATGTATTAAGAACTAATGTTGGGCAGCCCGGGAGGCTCAGCGGTTTAGTGCCGCCTTGGGTCCAGGGCCTGATCCTGGTGACCCGGGATCGAGTCCCACATCAGGTCCCCTGCACGGAGCTTGCGCTGCCTCTCTCTCTGTGTGTCTCTCATGAATAAATAAAATCTTTTTTTAAAAAAAGAACTAATGTTGTAATATCTCTGTAGAAACAAGATGGATTCCCACCCCAAATTTAGTTTGGATGTCAAGACTGATGATGCCACACACACACATACACATCATGAGAGCATAAAAATGTTTATTATTTATGTGGCAAAACTTTTTGGGAGGAGAGAGCAGGCCTCCCGTGCTGATCTAAAAATGGTTTGAGAAAGCAACTATTACGGGCTAAACTGCGTCCCCTTCAAATTCGTATGTTGAAGTCCTAACCTCTAGTACTTTAGAATTTGACCAATAGCTCAAATAATCTATTTTAGAGATAGGGCTTTAAAAAGACAACAGAGTGAAAATAAGTTTATTATGGTGGCTCCTAATCCAATATGACTGGTGTCCTTATGAGAAGGGGAAATTTGGATATAGAAATGTATAGAAAGAAGACCATGTAGAGACAGTGGAAGATGACACCATCTATGAGCCAAGGAGAGAGAAGCTTCAGAAGAAACCAGTCCCACCAACACCTTTGATATCAGATATCTAACTTCCAGAACTTCTATTGTGTAAGCCACCAAGTCTATGCTACTTTACTATGGCAACTCTGGAAAATTCATACAGTAAGGATAAAAGAGTGGTTTGGGATTTTTTTTTTTTACTGTGGTTAAGGACTGGTTAAGGATTAGAGAGAGGGTATCCAGGTGTGGGAAGGGGCTTGGCTGCAGTGCCAAAGGAGGGACTATCGGGGCTTTCCTGACTATCCTGTCTTGCCCAGCTGACCCAAGACACAAGAAATAGAGAGGGGAGGAGGCTTAAAAGCTACCAGCCATCAAACCTCAACAAGTGAGGTCAGATTTTTGTTACAGCTAAGCTGGTGAAAGGGAGGGGCCAGCCAGCTCTCTGGGCCCTCTTTTATTTTTTTATTTTTTATTTTTTAAAGATTTTATTTATTCATGAGACACACACACAGAGAGAGGCAGAGACACAGGCAGAGGGAGAAGCAGGCTCCATGCAGGGAGCCTGACGTGGGACTTGATCCCGGATCTCCAGGATCATGCCCTGGGTCGAAGGTAGATGCTTAACTGCTGAGCCACCCAGGGATCCCCCCCTTTTTTCTTTTAACCCTCTTTTATAAGGGCATTCATCTCATCACTTCCCAAAGGCCCCACCTCCAAATACCATCACCTTGAGGGGTAGGGCTGCAAACTATGACTATTCAGTCCACAGCAGCATGTTTTCTCCATCTTCTTGGTTTCCTGTGTGGCGTTAGCTAGCTGAATAACCTATCTTGTATTGCCTGCCTCTCTTCCCTACTGGTGATTCCCAAGGTTCCCAAATGAGTCACTGGCACTGGATCCCTGTTCCCCGATCTACTTTAGAAGAACCTAAACTGAGACAGTGGGTTCATATTGGAAGGGCACGGTCAACGCCCTCCAGCCAGAGTCCACCAGGGGCACACCTACAGTAGAACCCATTGGGCTCATTATTTTTTGCAGCAAGGGAGGACGCACACCATGGGGTGTCTTCCTAGAACCTATTGGAGGGTTTGGGCTTTGATTGGATGATTGAAAGTGGTCTAAGGAAGCGGGTGGTTCACTTAGGTTGGCCTGTCAGAAAGAGAAGGCAATTCTATCAAGGAAGATCTCAATAAATCCTAAAGTGAGGGGATCCTAGAATGAGGTAAAGGCTGTGGTTGGTAAAGAAATAGTCACTCATTGTAGCAAGAGACCAGTTGTTGGGTATTTTGTGGATTAACAACCGTCATCTTCTTGTGCTTGGACAACATGATCAAGTTGACTTGCGTTGTCTCCGCTTCTGGTCTCGGAATGAAGCTGTGAGGTCGGTCTTCCGGGAGCCGGTTTCAATTTTTAAGATCAGCATCGATCCCCGCGAGCGCCAGGCTTGCTTCCGAGTCTGCTTTCTGGCTTTTTGTTCGTCTTTCTCACCACTTTGTAAGCTCTCCACGTCACGTAACCGTCCGCCCGAGCTCGGGGCTTCACATCCACCCTCTTCCAGTCTCCACAATAATGCGGGACAGGGGCGACCAGCCACGCTCTAGAGGTCAGCGGGAAGGTGTGACCTGAGTTCGCACGGCGTGCCCACAGGTGCACCGCGCTAAGACGTGCCCACAGGTGCACCGCGCTAAGACGTGCCCACAGGTGCACGGCGCTAAGTCGGAGAGCGACGCCTGGTGGCCTTGGCTTCTGACGCGGGCACCACGTGGGACCCGGGGGGAGGCCGCACAGCCCCTCGGCGGCCCCTCCGCGGCCCCGCCGCCCGCGCTCCGCAGCTTCGGTCGGAGGCCGGGCGCCCCGCCCAGGACCGGCCCGGCGGAGTTTTGCAAGATTTTATGCCGTGACGGCGCGGGACTCGGCACCGGGCCGGCCGCCGCTACACCTGGGCGGGGCGCAGCGTCCCGGCCACCCAGACTCGCGCCCGCCCCCGGCCCCGCCCCCGGCCCCGCCCCCGCCTGTACCGGCTCCGCTTCCCCCCGCCCCGACACTCCGCCCCCTCTCTCCTCTCGGACCCCGCCCCGCCCCGCCCCGGCCCACCGCTCCCGGCTCCCGCCCCCCGCCCCGCCCCGACACTCCGCCCCCCATCCCCTCTCCCCTCCCTCCCGCCCCCGGCCCCGCCCCCGCCTGTACCGGCTCCGTTCCCCCCCCACCGCCCCGACACTCCGCCCCTCATCCCCTCTCCCCTCCCTCCCGCCCCCGCCCCCGGCCCCGCCCCCGCCTGTACCGGCTCCGTTCCCCCCCCACCGCTCCGACACTCCGCCCCTCATCCCCTCTCCCCTCCCTCCCGCCCCCGCCCCCGGCCCCGCCCCCGCCTGTACCGGCTCCGCTCCCCCCCCCCCCACCGCCCCGACACTTCGCCCCCCATCCCCTCTCCCCTCGCGGACCCCGACCCGCCCCGGCCCACCGCTCCCGGCTCCCTTCCCCCGCCCCGCCCCTGCCTCGACACTCCGCCCCCCATCCCCTCTCCCTTCCCGGACCCCGACCTGCCCCGGCCCCGCCCGTCCCGGCTCCCGCCCCCCACTCCCGGCTCCCGGCCCCGCCCGCCCGGCTCTGCTCTCCTCCCCGCCCCGACACTCCACACCCATCCCCTCTCCCCTCCCCTCCTCCCTTCCCGGACCCCACCCGCTCCGGCCCCCCCGCTCCCGGCTCCTACCCCCGCCCCCACCCCGGCACTCCGCTATCCGCTCCCCTTTCCCCGCAGCCTGGCCGCTGTGGCTCCCCAAGGCTCCTCAGCCCCAGTCCCGCCCCCGCCTCGCCCCCGCTTCCCCATCGTGGCCCCGCCCCACTCCTAGCCCCGCCCCTCACCACCGCGGCCCGCCCCACCCGCAGCAGGCCCCGCCCCCTCCCCATCGTGGCCCCGCCCACTCCTAGCCCCGCCTCTCACCACCGAGGCCCCGTCCCACCCGCAGCACGGCCCCTGCCCTCTTCCCCATTACGGCCCCGCTCCCACTCCTAGCTCCGCCCCTCCCCACCGCGGCCCCGCCTCCGCCCCACCGCGGCCCCGCCCCCGCTCCGGCCCCGGCCCCGCCCCTCGGGGCCCCGAGCGCCTGCAGCCCGAGTCTGGGAGGTCCAAGATGGCGTTGCTGGGTCGCGTCTTCCTCGTTCGGGGCCGCGGCCCTCGGCGGGTAAGGCGGCGCTGGAGGGACCGAGGGCCCGGCTCGCCCCCCAGCGAGCGCCCTGCCCGTGCGGGTCCCCGGGACCGCGCCCGGGGCCGCGCGCGGCGAAGATCTGGACCCCGGGATGCGGGGCGCGCGGAGCCGCGGGAGGAGTGCGGACCTGGGGGGGGGGGCAACGTCACGGCCGGCCGTCGGAGAACCGTGGGTGTGGAGGGCGGGCGGGGGGGGGCAAGGTCACGGTCGGCCGTCCGAGAACCGTGGGTGTGGAGGGCGGGCCTGGGGGGGCAAGGTCACGGTCGGCCGTCGGAGAACCGTGGGTGTGGAGGGCGGGCCGGGGGGGGGGGCAAGGTCACGGTCGGCCGTCCGAGAACCGTGGGTGTGGAGGGCGGGCCTGGGGGGGCAAGGTCACGGTCGGCCGTCGGAGAACCGTGGGTGTGGAGGGCGGGCCTGGGGGGGGGGCAAGGTCACGGTCGGCCGTCGGAGAACCGTGGGCGTGGAGGGCGGGCCGGGCTCCTCCGAGTGCCCCGGCAGCTTCAGAGCCGTGTGTACGCGTGGGGGGGGAAGGGTAGCAGGACCCTGCGGGCGTCGGCTCGGAAGGGGAGGGGCGCGGCGGTGGGAGGGGTCCGCAGGGTGCCCTGGCCTCCCTGGCGGCCTCGTCTCGCCGGGAAGATCCGCTTCTGCATTAGTTGTGCAAATGAAACGTTCATGCAAACAGAAGTTCTATTAGAAGAAAAAAACCCCGAAACCCCGCTCTCTATCCTCCTCCCTAGAGGCAAAGCTGGGAGAGAGGTGGGTACCTTTCGGGCTGCCTTCCACCCCCCAGCTTTGGGAGACGCAGCCGGTGTGTTTTGTCAACGTGCGTCCACGGGACCCAGAGTCAGAATAAAAAAAAATGCAAGCGAGGGACACCTGGGTGGCTCAGTGGTTGTGCACCTGCCTCCAGCCCAGGGCGTGACCTTGGAGACCCGGGATCCAGTCCCGAGTCCCACGTCGGGCTCCCTGCATGGGGCCTGCTTCTCCCTCTGCCTGTGTCTCTGCCTTTCCCTCTTTCTGTCTGTGTCTCTCATGAATAAATACATAAAATATTTTTTTAAAATGCACGCGAAGATAGCTGGAGAGGCTAAGAGAGCGAAAGGAGGTTGTAAGAAGAAGCAGTGAGATCCAAGACAGTCTCTTCCCCCAAGCAAAGTTAGGAACCTTAATACACTAAATCTAAAAGTTCAGCTTCCTTAGCCAGGTGAAAGAAGTATCTATCCTGCCAAGGGTACTTCCCCCAAGTCAGGGACTAACCAAACCCTGCTTAGTCCAGTGGGATGCCAGCCCTGCTGTTCTTTTCTGGAAAATGGAGGTAGCAGCTCCAAATGTGAACATGAGGAAATAGTATGGTCAGTCTCTTAAGTTAGAGAACTTCGCTTTATTATTTTTTTAAAGGTTTTATTTATTCATGCAGAGAGAGAGAGAAGCAGAGACACAGGCAGAGAGAGAAGCAGGTCCATTCAGGGAGCCCGACGTGGGACTCTATCCCCATGGGACTCTATCCCTGTGGGACTGTATCCCATGGGACTGTATCCCTGCCGGACTCTACCCTCGTGGGTCTCTATCCCCCCACCCACTCTCTCCCCATGGGACTATTCCTGTGGACTCTATCCCATGGGACTCTATTACCACGGGACTCTATCCTCGGGACACTATCGTCGTGGGTCTCTATCCTCACCGGGCTCTATCCACGCGGGACTCTATCCCCGCGGGCCTCTATCTCCATGGGACTGTATCCCCGGGACTCTATCCCCGCGAGAACTCTATCCCGCGGGACTCTATCCACGTGGGATTCTATCCAATGGGACTCTATCCCCATGGGACTCTATCCCCGTGGGACTCTATCCCCGGGACTCTATCCCCGTGAGATTCTATCCCCGTGGGACTCTATCCCCAGGACACTATCTCCATTGGGACTCTATCCCCGTGGGACTCTATCCCCGCGGGACTATCCCCGCGGGCCTCTATCTCCATGGGACTGTATCCCCGGGACTCTATCCCCGTGGGACTCTATTCCCGTGGGGACTCTATCCCCGCGGGACTCTATCCAATGGGACTCTATCCCCATGGGACTGTATCCCCGCATGTCTCTATCCTCATGGGACTCTATCCCTGCCCGTCTCTATCCCCGGGACTCTATCCCCGCGGGACTCTATCCCCGCGAGTCTCTATCCCCGGGACTCTATCCATGCGGGACTCTATCCCTATGGGACTCTATCCTCGCGGGACTATCCCCGAGGGCCTCTATCCCCGGGACACTATCCCCATGGGACTCTATCCCTGCATGTCTCTATCCCAGGGACTCTATCCCCGCGGGACTCTATCCCCATGGGACTCTATCCACGCGAGACTCTATCCCCATGGGACTGTATCCCCGCCCGTCTCTATCCCCGGGACTCTATCCACGCGAGTCTCTATCCTCGGGACTCTATCCCCGTGGGACTCTATCCTCGCGGGACTATCCCCGAGGCCTCTATCTCTGTGGGACTCTATCCCCGCGGAACTCTCCCCATGGGACTCTATCCCCGCATGTCTCTATCCCTGGGACTCTGTCCCTGTGGGACTCTATCCCCGGGACACTATCCCCATGGGACTCTATCCCCGCAGGTCTCTATCCCCGTGGGATTCTATCCCCGTGGGACTCTATCCTCGCAGGACTATCCCCGTGGGACTCTATCCCCATGGGACTCTATCCCCGTGGGATTCTATCCCCGTGGGACTCTATCCTCGTAGGACTATCCCCGTGGGACTCTATCCCCATGGGACTCTATCCCCGCATGTCTCTATCCCCGGGACTCTATCCCCGCGGGACTCTATCCCCGCGAGTCTCTATCCCCGGGACTCTATCCATGCGGGACTCTATCCCTATGGGACTCTATCCTCGCGGGACTATCCCCGAGGGCCTCTATCCCCGGGACACTATCCCCATGGGACTCTATCCCTGCATGTCTCTATCCCAGGGACTCTATCCCCGCGGGACTCTATCCCCATGGGACTCTATCCACGCGAGACTCTATCCCCATGGGACTGTATCCCCGCCCGTCTCTATCCCCGGGACTCTATCCACGCGAGTCTCTATCCTCGGGACTCTATCCCCGTGGGACTCTATCCTCGCGGGACTATCCCCGAGGCCTCTATCTCTGTGGGACTCTATCCCCGCGGAACTCTCCCCATGGGACTCTATCCCCGCATGTCTCTATCCCTGGGACTCTGTCCCTGTGGGACTCTATCCCCGGGACACTATCCCCATGGGACTCTATCCCCGCAGGTCTCTATCCCCGTGGGATTCTATCCCCGTGGGACTCTATCCTCGCAGGACTATCCCCGTGGGACTCTATCCCCATGGGACTCTATCCCCGCATGTCTCTATCCCTGGGACTCTATTCCCCCGTGGGACTCTATCCCCGTGGGACTCTATCCTCGCGGGACTATCCCCGAGGGCCTCTATCTCCGTGGGACTCTATCCCCATGGGACTCTATACCCGCATGTCTCTATCCCTGGGACTGTATCCCCAGTGGGACTCTATCCCCACGGGACTCTATCCCCATGGGACTCTATCTCTGCGCGTCTCTATCCCCGGGACTCTATCCCCGGGACACTATCCCCATGGGACTCTATCCCCGTGGGACTCTATCCCCGCGGGTCTCTATCCCCGTGGGACTCTATCCTCGCAGGACTATCCCCGCGGGCCTCTATCTCCTTGGGACTCTATTCCCGGGACTCTATCCCGTGGGACTCTATCCCCATGGGACTCTATCCCCGCATGTCTTTATCCCTGGGGCTCTATCCCCGCGGGACTCTATCCCCATGGGACTCTATCCCTGCGCGTCTCTATCCCCGGGACACTATCCCCATGGGACTCTATCCCCGTGGGACTCTATCCCCGTGGGATTCTATCCCCGCGGGCTTCTATCTCCTTGGGACTCTATTCCCAGGACTCTATCCCCGCAGGACTCTATCCCCATGGGACTCTATCCCCGCGCATCTCTATCCTCATGGGACTCTATTCCCGCGCGTCTCTATCCCCAGGACTCTATCCCTGTGGGACTCTATCCCCGCGGGACTCTATCGCTGAGGGACTCTATCCTCGCGGGACTCTATCCCCATGGGACTCTATCCCCGTGTCTCTATCCCCTTGGGACTCTATCCCCGTGGGACTCTATCCCCGGGACACTATCCCCGTGGGACTCTATCCACGCGGGACTCTATCCCCGCGCGACTATCCCCGCGGGCCTCTATCTCCATGGGACTGTATCCCCGGGATTCTATCCCCCTGGGACTCTATCCCGGTGGGACTCTATCCCGGCCAGGACTCTATTCCCGCGGGACTCTATCCACGTGGGACCTCCCCACCCCCCCACCCCCCCACCCCCACCGCTGCCCCAGAACTTTGTTTTAAAGAGTGCTGTTTGTTTGACAATAAGGTTTTGCTGATATGATTTTCCTGTAAATATTCTGGTTGTAGGTCACTGTGAAAGAAGCCTCTGTTTTCTGACCTCTTCTCAAAGAACCTTGTCTTTGTACAACAGCTGTGAGGTTAGAAAAGTCTTCAGAGGTTTTTTGATACAACCCTCCCTTCCCCCAAATCATTAGGACTGTAATAATAAGATAATAAAATCAATCACGCAGACTGTATCCCAATTCATCGGACACCATTAGACAAAAAACAGTTTTGGGGGGGGCAAGTGGAACTCATTTAAAAATTAATTGTACTCTGACAATTTTGGAATTCTTTTGCTTAAGAAAAACAGAAGTTTGGAGGGTCAGAGTTCAGAGCCAACAGAAGCTCCTTTTGGTGTGTTTTGTTTTCCTGGCACCTGCCTCCTTGGGTTTGAATTCCTGGGAGAAGCATTTTCCTGTCTGTGAAGTGGGAGGTGGTTCCAGGGAACATCATGTTTCCATTGGCAAATACTAGTTATTACAGTTAGAACTCCCAATTTGAGTATTTTTGTTGAGCAAGAACCAAGGAAAATGTTTTCTTTGTTAAACGTGTTTATGAAGTGTCTTAAATTGTGCTGGTTAGCTAGTAGGCCTCAATTCAATGCAACAAATATTTATTGCCAATGGGCTCTGTGCCCAGCTGGGGGCACAGAGCTTGTCGGGGTTATAAAGATTAAAAAAACAAAAAACAATCTCTGCTCTCAAGTCGCTGTCAGTTGTACTCAGGAAAAGGGGGCACACTCTCAGTTGTTTTATCAGGAAATTCTATTTAAGTGCCTATTACATGTTGGGCATTGTTCGGAGCTACTTGGCGGGAAAGATATCTATACCATCATTAAGTCTCATATATATTTTTCAAGCTATGGATAAACAAGAGTGGACACAGAAATCAGTCTTATGGGGCAAGATGAGTAAGAAAAAAACATTGGGATAGAATACAAAATACCAGAATTCATCTCATGTAAGTGTAGTAAGGTTAAGTTTACTTTGTGAAATCTTTTTTTTTAATATATCATTTTTTTCTATTGTGGACTAAATATTAGGTATCTGTGATGCACACTGCCATACCTTTCTTTTTGTTTTTATCAAGGGTTGTAACTTTAGGATTTTTATAAAAATGATACCCGACCAATATGGATTCAGGTAATATAGTTTTAAAAAAAGTAACATAGGACCCTAATCTGGCCACCCAGAAATAACCAGGGTTGAGATTTGGTGAACATCATTCCAGGTGTCTATGCTGATAAAAAAAGATGGGTACACAGGCATCATTTTACTTGGATGTATTATATTTATTTTCCCCTCAGAACTGAATCAACATCGTTTTCATTGTCTTCTAACATTGAATATTGTCAGGGAAAAATGTAAGGCTAGTGGTTTTTTTCCTTCTGTATTTTCTGTCTGGAAAGCTTAAGAAATCTTTGTGTACCCAAACTAAAATTCCAGAATATAAACTTTTTGGAGGCAAGGATTTATATCTTGTGTGTTTACTGCTGTACTTCTAGGCCTAGAATATTGCCTAGTGTAGAACAAACATAATAAATATCTGTCACATGAATGAATGCGTACTGTGTTGCCATATAAGGTGTATTTCTTAGTATGCTTTATATAACATATAAATGTCTGAAAAACTGTAGTCTAGCAGGTCACACAAGACATGAGTAGACCGTGAAAATGCAGGTGTATGTTGGAATGCATATGTAAACAGAATGGTGTGTGTCTGGAGGAGGCAGCGAAGGCTTCATGGAGGAGGTGGCTTCCAGGGCTGACATTTATTTATTTATTTATTTTTTAAAAGATTTTATTTATTTATTCATATAAACACACACACACACACACACAGAGAGAGAGAGAGAGAGAGAGGCAGAGGCACATGCAGAGGGAGAAGCAGGCTCCATGCAGGGAGCCTGATGTGGGAATCGATCCAGGGTCCCCAGGATCAAACCCCAGGCTGCAGGGGGCGCTAAACCGCTGCGCCACCGGGGCTGCCCCAGGGCTGACTTTTAAAGGAGGAGTTGGAATATATGGGGCCTCACATGTATGTGATCTGGACCTAAGGAATAGCATATATCAAGAAGTGAGGGAGCATAGCCTATTTCTTTAAAAAAAAAAAAGAGTGGTTTAGTATCGTGGAGTTTAAAATACGGGTTCAGAGAGAAGTGCATGGAGATGAGATTGGACAGGTTGCTGGGGGCAGGACACAGTGGGCGTTACTCACATGGCAAATTAGGCCTTTATTAGGTGCTAGACAGGGTCCCAGGGGTATAAGGATGAGCAAAAGGGCTGGTTCCTGCTCTCAGGAAGCTTATACTCTAACGACATTTTGGTATAATATAGTTAAGTATTATGATGAGTGCTCTTGATCTCAGAAGAGGTCCAACATAAGAAGCATCTGTCTTCTCCAGTTTGAAAAATACGACTACAGACTGAGGCCAAAGTGTCACTTGTTACCATTCCACGTGAGAGCCAGCTGCCCCTGTTACCTGTTACCCGGACCTCCTGCATTAGGCAGACTTGCTGCTTCAGAAGGACAGCAGAATTGCTCTCTCAGGGCAGCTGACTCAAGAGGAGGAAGGTGTAAGGTAAAATAATTGGTGTGCCCAATTATTCTTTCAGTATTTACCAGTCAGATATACTATCTCTGTGGAGACAGGGAAACTAAGGGTGTGCAGAGAAGCCTGGGGTTGCAGGGAAACATCTGGGTCAGGAGAGAAGCATTTCCCAACCCCCAGTGGGAGGAGTGTGCAATTTTATGGGAATGTGTTTTGGAGTACACACCTAGGCTGAAACCTGAAGGATGAATAGGAGTTAGCCAAGGGGAGGAGTATGAGTAAGGAAGTTCTAGGTGGGAGAGGGGCCTATGTGATGGGTCCAGGCTAAAGTGTACAGGTAGAGAGTGGAGAGGCAAGCTGGTGAACAGCCAGTGGGCCACACTGAGGAGTGAGAGCTCCGTCCTGACAGCGTGGGTGGGAGTGGCGGTAAAAATAGAGGCATGTAGTCAAATCCGGGTACTCTTCTCTCCATGGTGGCCTCAGATAGGAGTGGCTGTGGATGCCTAGAGACTCCAAGTCAAGGGATATTTAGGAGGTAAATTGAGAGGCCTTGTGATTGGTTGTTGGTGTGCAAGAAGAAGGAAGATTGGGCCATGTTGAGGTGATACGGCACCATCACAGTTGTGAGCAGGGAAGTGATATTTAACAGGTAAGACTTGATCTAGGAAGACCACAAGTCCAAACAAAAGCAATGGGGTCTGCACATGGGAGCTATTTAGGACTAAACTAGATGACTTTGGTTTGGATGTGCGGTATGAGACGGAAGCCCTGATTTCTGTCTTTGGCCCCTGAGCTAAGGGCAGTGGCAGTGAGAGAGGGCACTTGCAGGGGGACGTTGGCTACAGGGATGGAGATGAGAATGTTCACTGTGTCTGGGAGTGTTAGGAAAGGCATCGGAACTCTCAGAACTAACTTCGAGTGATGAGTGTTGTATGATGTGGGATCGATCTGGTATAAATAGGGAGGTAGAAGACAGTCTATATTTGGGGAACCCTGAGTGTTTTGTTTTCCTGAGTGCAGATTTCCAGGAGGTAAAGCAGAAGGAGAAGAGGCGGCAGAGATGGGCAAGAGCCAAGTCACAAAGACTTAACGAGCTGTGTGAAGCTAAGGAATCTGGACTTTGTGCAGCTCCCAGGAGCCGTAGATCGAGCTTAAGGTGAAAAGTGCCATGAGCAGGTTTGCAGTATTCTGGAGACAGACTGGAGAGAGGAGACGCTGGCGGCCAGAGACAAGGTAACAGATGACATAAGGTGGGACCTCCGTATTTGTGGGTGACAGGAGATACGGGCCTCTGAAGTCGAGCAGTGCATAGAGAGGAAAGATACGGACTGGGGTCTTGGCGATGGACGGGATGTGTCAGGTGAAGAGAAAGACGACTTGGAGGAGTCCTTAGAGGCAGTCACTTGGATGAATGGTGGCTTCAGAGCTCAGATATATGTATGTGAAGAAATGTCCAAACAATCTCCTTCCCAAAACGAATAACACTCATTTTATAATATTAAAACAATATGTAGATCTCTACAAAGATCGTTACAAAACACATAGAGAGAGGAGGGCATGTCTGAAGTGAACCAGGGTTGCCTACAGCCCATAGTAGAAGGCATTCCATCAGGGTTTGGCAACCCTTGGTTTTTGAAGAAAATTCCAGGTAGAAAACGATCAGCGTTCTCAGCTGTTCTACGCTGTTCTCTTTCTGAGGTGATGGTTCGTCTTGGAATCCAAAATGCCTGGGTATGGGACGCCTGGGTGGCTCAGCGGTTGAGCATCTGCCTTTGGCTCAGGGCGTGATCCTGGAGTCCTGGGATCAAGTCCCACATCAGGCTCCCTGCATGGAGCCTGCTTCTCCCTCTGCCTCACTCTGTGTTTCTAATGAATAAATAAAATCTTAAAAAAAAAAAAAAAGAAAAGAAATGCCTGGGTAAATATAAGTAGGTTAAGAGTAAGGGGACAGCCATACTTTGGTCCCTTCCAGGCTGGGGCGGCTCCCACACCGCATTGCGTGGTGGTGGAAGTGCGTGCTTTCACAGTTACGGAGTGATGTTGCGAGCCAGGTATTTCCAGCTGCGGGTTAGGTGTGTTTACCTGAATGTCCCCCAGGTGTTGCAGCTCTGGCGTTTCCAGTACAGAACTCCTTGTCTTCCGTCCTCCCTCCGGCCTGGGTCTTCCCACGTCGATCCCGTCCTTTGTAGCAGCGCCCAGCGAGTAGCCATGGAAACTTCGCTCATCTTCAGCTCTCCCCTCCTTACTCAGCGCTTCCAGCTGCTTGGCTTCCGAATTCAGGCTAGACTACGTGTTACATATGAGTGGAGAGTGTTGTCTGGATTACTGCCGCCCTCCTTATTTCTCCCCTAGACTCACACCCTCCGTCTGATGAGCCCCACTTCCTTCTAGCTCAGAGTTGAACCTTCCCGTCTAAAACACAAAGGCAGTGCAAAGAGTGAGGTTAAGGGGAGAGAGGTGGAGAAGGCTCTCTCAGCTGAATGGGCTTCATCTTTTCAGGAAAGTGGGGGGACGCTTTATCTCCCTTCCGTGAAATAGGTCAGTATGTGCTGAGGTTGGGCTTTGAGGCAAGAAATAATTGGACCAGACAGTCTAAGTATGGCGATAATTTATTACATCCTCACTTTCTGGGGCCTTTTTACAGCAAGTAATTTCATTTGCTAAGTCCTGTCCCTTCTGATGATGGCATCCAGGTCACCTCCTGCCTCACCTGCAGCAAAAACACTATCCCTGCTCCCAGCCTTGCCTCCTACATTCCTTCTCAGCATCGCAGGCAAAACAGTATAGAGCAGTCCTCCGAACACCTAAGGCAGATCCTCTGCTCAAGACGTCACAGATGTTTTTCACTGGACTCAGAGTAAAAGTTTAGTGCACATCGTGTGGTTGACTCAGCCTGCATAATCCAATCTTCTTCATCTTTTTAGATTTTATTCGTTTATGAGAGAGAGAGAGACAGAGCACACAAGCCAGGAGGAGGGGCAGAGGGAGAGGGAGAAGCAGGCTCCTCACTGAGCAGGGAGCCCGATGAGGGGCTTGATCCCTGGACTCTGAGATCATGACCTGACCTGGAGGCAGGTGTGTAACCACCGAGCCCCCGGGTGCCTCTGATCCATTCTCCTTTTTTTTTTTTTAAGATTTTTAAAGTTTATTTATTCATGAGGGACACACACATAGAGAGGCAGAGACACAGGTAGAGGGAGAAGCAGGCTCATGCAGGGAGCCCGACGCGGGACTTCATCCCGGGACTCCAGGATCACACCCTGAGCCCTTTAAAGGCAGGTGCTCAACCGCTGAGCCACCCAGGCATCCCCCCGATCCAGTCTTCTTGACCTGATTGGCCTCCCACCCCTGCCACCCTCCCCCCTTCCACTCCAGCCACACTGGCCCTCTGACTTCCTCTGCTTGCTGGTCATGGCCCTGGCATTTACTCTCCCCTCTGCCTGAAAGAACTGTGGCACTCATTCTCTCACCTTTTTTAGGTCTTTATTCAAATTCACCTCAGACCCTTCCTGACTGCCTATTTAAAATGGCAACTCTCCATCCCTATGCTGTGCCTTATTTTTACCCCACACTGTGTGTGTTAGCCTGTAATATACTATGTAAGTATACATATTCTTTAATTTATCCCCCTCCATCCAAAAATAATCTCTCAAGGTAGAATATTATATTTATTTTGCTCTCTGCTGTATTGCTATTTTCTAGAACAGTGCCTGGGGCATGGGGGATGCTCCTTAAAAACTTGTTAAAAATAGGGGCGCCTGAGTGGCTTAGTGAGTTAAGCATCTGCCTTTGGCTCAGGTCATGATCCCAGGGTCCTAGGAATGGGTCCCAAGTCAGGCTCCCTGCTCAGTGGAGAGACTGCCTCTCCTTCTCTGCTTCTCCCCCAACCCCCTGGCCCCAGCTCAAGCTCACTCTCTCCTCCTCTCTGTCTCAAATAAATAAATAAAATCTAAAAAAAAAAAAACTTGTTAAAAATAGGTAAATGAGTTAACTATCCCAAATCATAATATCATGTTTATCTCTAATATTTTTTCATATACACAAATCTCAATTCAAAACAAAACCTTTTCAAGAGCAGGGATTCTATTTTTTTGGTTCAAAAAAGATAATTATGTTACTTATGGCTAATGTTTTGGGGATCAATGGGATTACTCAGATGAGAGGTAAGCATAGTGAAGACCCACGTTCAAAATTTCAAACTGCAAAAAAAAAAAACAAACCAAAATTTCAAACTGCCTGCTAATTTATCTCCATGATTTCATCTCCTTTTATTGAGAAGTATTGGTGAAGCATCTGTTTGGTCCACATCTCACTGCAGACCGGTAAGAACTGTAATAAAAATGGGAAGTATACCCTGAAGCACAGAGCAGCTCCTTTTTCAAGGACTCCTGTCCATTGCTATAAGATGTATCATTACTTAAAAATGTAATTTCTGTCTTGCTACTGGCAACAGCTGCGTAATTCAGCCTAGCCACTGCAACCTGGAGTCCCGCTAACTTTCTTTTATATTTGCTCAGCCTTACCTTCCAGTTGCTGTGGCAACGAGATCTGTGTTCTGCAGAAGCTTATAATATCAGTGGCCTCTGGTGCAGTGCCCTGCTCTCAGTTAAGGAGAGGGCGGAGGTACTCAAGCAATCCACACAGGCACCGAGCTTGAGCGCAGAACGGCCCATGGCAAGCCATAGATGTGGGTAGAGTTTGGGCTCTCTGTTTCTTTTCCAGTTGGTGGGATCACTAATGGTATTAGTGGGTGGGACAGTTCTTCATTCTGCAACGTTATCTGTTCCTGTATTGGAGTATCAATACAGAGCATCCTGCCCAGCTCCTTCTTGTATTTCCAGATGCATCCAGCTGAGAGCTACCTCCATGGCTGCAGTGGCAGTGGTCTAGGCATTGAAAAGTGCAAGCATGGGCAGCCCGGGTGGCTCAGCAGTTTAGCACCGCCTTCAGCCCAGGGCCTGGTCCTGGAGACCCAGGATCGAGTCCTGTGTCAGGCTCCCTGCATGGAGCCTGCTTCTCCCTCTGTCTATGTCTCTGCCTCTCTCTCTCTCTCTCTCTCTCTCTCTCTCTCTCTCTGTGTGTCTCATGAATAAATAAATAAAATGTTAAAAAAAAGTGCATGCAGGGCACAGACATGTGCCTTCTAGCAACTGGACAAAATAAATCAAGAAGCAGTTATTGGAGGCTTATGGTGTGCATAGACTATTGAGTTGCATTGGGAATGCAAAAATATGCATTTTTCAAAGTCATCCTTTGAAAACTAAGATTGTCAGGTCTTCACCAAGCTGATGTTTTTATATGACAGTCTGCAAAGCTCTCATCCTGTGAATCTGAGTCAGGATAAATTTATTCTTAAAAAAATATTCATGTCGGGATGCCTGGGTGGCTCAGTGGTTGAGCGTCTGCCTTCAGCTCAGGGCGTGATCCTGGGATCAAGTCCTGCATCAGGCTCCCCACAGAGAGCCTGCTTCTCCCTCTGCCTGTGTCTTTGCCTCTCTCTCTGTGTCTCTCACGAATGAATAAATAAATAAAATCTTTAAAAAGATCTAAACCAACAGGTACTTAGAAACTCCAAAAAAAAAAATAAACAGATTATGAACACCTTTCATTTTCCTTCTAAGTATAGCTCACACTTAAGTATGGAACATACAATACTTAAACTTTAAATAAATCCTTGTAACACTGATCGTATGCTAGTGTTCCTGCTATAACTTTGTTTTCCTCTATATCCTTTTTATATTGTGTGCTTGCATATATGATTTGATTTGTGTTAACTTTTTAAAAATATTTATTTACTTAGAGCACGTGCATGAGCGGGGTGGGGATAGAGGGAAGAGGCAGAGGGGAAGCAGACCCCCCACTGGGTGGGGAGCCATGTGCTGAGCTCTCAGTCCCACAACCCCAAGATCATGACCTGAGCCAAAACCAAGAGTCAGACATTCAACCGACTGAGCCGTGTGAGTGCCCCTGTGTTAACTATCTTTAATAAAATATTAATTTATGAACATACCTAATACTCAACATTACAATATGCACTGACTATACAAAAAGTCTCTCTCCCAAGAGGTTAGTGCTATGAATAGTTTCTTGTGGATCCTCCCAACAATTTTTGTTCATGTATAAGCATATGTATGAAGATATTTTCATTAAAAGACCACACAATTGGGAGCTTTTCATATTTATTTCCCTACCTTGGATTTTTCCCTTAAATGTAACGCTTCGCATTGTTGGTATTCAACAAATATTTGTTGAAAGTTTGGATAAATACATACTGTTATTAGAATAGACTATATTAAACGATACATAGTTTTTTGTTATATGGATGTGCCCTAATTGGCTGGGTATACCCCCTACTGAAATGCTGATCTATTGTTTTCTAGTATTTTTTATTACAACCAATGCTTTCATATATTATATGTTTGACTGTTCTGTGTTCCTTGCATTTCTGAGCCCCTAAAAGTGAATTTTGAGATACGCTTGTCAACTTATGCAAAAAGCCAACTGGGATTTTGATAGGGGTTTTATTGAATCTGTATATCAATTTGGGGAGTATTGCAATCTTAAAAGTTAAGTTTTCTAATCCATGAACACAGGATGTCTTTTTATTTATTTAGGACTTCTATAAGACTTAATGATATTTTATAGTTTTTAATTTATAAGTATTGTACTTCTTTTATTAAATTTATTAGTAAGCACTTTTTTTTGATGTGATTGTAAATAGAATTGTTAATTTCATTTTCATCTTAGTATGTATTTTTGAACATAGCTTCTCCCTCCCACCCAAATGAATGAGTATATCTTTTGGGTTAATTCCTAAATGTGGAGTTGTCCGCCGAAGGTTGTGTATTGTTTAGATAATATTTTGATAATACGTTACCAAATTGGCCTCCAGAGAAGTTGCCCCAATTCATATCAACAGAGTGTAAGAGTGACTTTAATAAGCTATTTTGTTTTGTATTATGTATTATGAAATCTTGAACCTTACCAATCTTGTGAGAAAAAAAAATGATTATCTTTGTTTAATTAACATTCACTTACTTATAAATATGATAGTATGTTTTTTTTTGCATGCGGACTATCTTTTTAAGGCCTTTGCCCAGTTTTTCCATTTGCAAATGACTTATTCACAAATCAATAGATTTGGATTCGGGGGGCTAATTTTTGAGAAGGCATAATTTAGAGTTCTTGGAAGTAACTTATTTCAACCTGATGAAGTACAGAGAGCTGAATTTATATCCATAGCACCATTAAGACTCTACTTGTCTGCACTCAGGTGATTTTGTTACAGTCAATGAAACAAGCATTTACTGAATGCTTATTTCTAATTGGTGTTAGAAACCCTGTTTAGTAATAAATGGATGCTCTTCTATCTTCCTGGATGCTCACAGTCTGGTGAAGAAAACTGAGATTCTGATGGAGGGAGGGATTCATTGGGCCCATTTTTAACTGAGGCATGTTTTAAAAATATCAACTGTTTTTGACACTTTGGCTTGGTTTTGAAGGCTGGTCCTGCAAGGTGGGAGAATAAAGTGAGTAGTTCAGGTAGATGAGACATCAGAAGCAAAGGCCAGAAGGAGAAAGTTGTTGGCAAGTTTCAGGAATGCTGAGGGGTTGTTGAGCATAGAGTATATACCTCTAAGTGGTGGAACTGGTAAGAAGTAGAGCTGGGAAGGTAGGTTGAGGCCATATTGTCCAGCTTGAATGCCATGCTAAACAGCTTAATTTTTGTATTTTTGACTCTAGAGGATATCAGTGTTGTTGTTTTTTTAAGAGTTCATTTATTTGGGGGAGAGAGAGTGCATGTAGGAGTGGGGTGAGATGGGGAAGAGGGAGAAGCACAGTCCCCGATGAGCAGAGAACCTAACATGGGGCTGGATCCCAGGACCCTGAGATGATGACTTAAGCTGAAGACAGATGCTTAACCAACTCAGCCACCCAGGCACCTCATGGACATCAGTGTTTTTGAGGTATGGGCTTTTAATGTGGAGGCCTGGTCAATTAGTAATAGTGACAATGATGGTGAGATAGCGAAGCTAAGAGTTAAATTACCTTCTTTAGCTCCACAAATTCTGCATGTTATTAATGATATTTATAGATTTGAAACTCAATTTTCTTCATAGTGTACCTAGAACATTAAACAATTATTTCGACATTGCTATATGAAAGAGGAAAAACCATTTTTCCCCTTTCCATTTTGTATTGGTTTCTTGGGTTTTATTTAGATGAGGAGTAAGGCACTCAAATGACAGTGGTTGCAGAAGCTGGACCTAAGAGTTGGTAGAGCTTTTGCATTTTACCTGAATTCTAAATATTGGCTCAAAATTTTAAAATATTGAGCAGGCCTAATAACAAAACATCTGGCTTGGGTCACCAGTCTGTGTTTATTGTAGGTGTTTATTCTAGACATTTGAGACCAGTCAAAATACTTTGGTAATTTAAGAATTAATCTTGATGCTATACAGTTCTCATCCTCCAGGGAAGAGACAGTCAAGACTCTTTAAAGGAATTGCCATTCTGAGGATTAGAAGTATGATTGCTTTTCATTAGTTTAGATGCTATCATTTAGGACCATATGAAGGTGGAAGATATTATTTATATGATGTGATAGAGTCATGAGTATGGAGGGAGGGCAGATGATAGCTGATACTTTTTTTTTCTGGGAAGTTTAGAACTTTTTAAAAAGATTTTATTTATTTATTCATGAGAGACACAGAAAGAGAGAGGCAGAGACATAGGCAGAGAGAAGCAGGCTCCATGCAGGGAGCCCAATGCAGGACTCTATCCCAGGTCTCCAGGATCATGCCCTGCCCCGAAGGCAGACACGCTTAACCGCTGAACCACCCAGGCATCCCAATTTTAGAACTTCTAATAAGCAAATTTTGTTTGCCAAAGTGGAAAATGTTAGAGAATTTTAAGAATTTTAGATTTTAGAGATGTCCAGAGAAAGACAAATACCATATGATTTCACTCATATGTGGAATATAAGAAACAGAACAGATGGACATAGGGGAAGGGAAGGAAAAATAAGATAAAAACAGAGAGAGAGAGAGAGAGAGAGAGAGAGAGAGAGAGAAAGACAAACCATAAGAGACCCAGCTATAGGGAACAAACTGAAGGTAACTGGGGGGGAGGGTGGGGGATGGGGTACCTGGGGGATGGGTATTAAGGAGGGCACTTGATGGAATCAGCATTGGGTATTATATGCAACTGGTGAATCTCTGAATTCTACCCCTGAAACTAATAATACACTATATGCTAACTAACTTGAATTTAAATAAAAAAATTAAAAAAATAAAAGATGTTCAAAGAAATCAATCTTGATATGAAAGATGTTATATCTACTTTCAAAAGACAACTTATTTCTGGAAAAAACACAAAGCAAGGTAATTTGTATCCACTTTATATGACTCAAAAAGAAATGGCCAAAATGCTGTTTCAGGTTATTCAAGATCCTCTGTAGAAATAGGAGACGGAATACCACAAGATTCTGTGAGGTCTGTTCATTTCTATGGATCTTAATATTAAAATGAACAACTTGTTTTTAGGCAGACAGATGGTTTGGATTTAATATTTAATAGCATTTATGCTATGAATTATCAGAAGGTAATGAAATAAAATAGCCTATCAATTTCTTCACTTTTGTTTGGTGGGAAAAATCCGTATGATTAGATCAAGTAAAACATAACAGGTATGCCTGTGCTGTGTAGTCACCTGATACCTTATAGACACTTACTAGGGATTGTTATCAAAGTGATTATATTTTTACCTCTATATTCTTCTGTTATTGAGGAAGTTTAGAAAATGTTTTAAGATAAATAAAAAATGTTTGTATACAAATATTTTATTTACTTAATTTATCTTTCATAAAGTACCATGTCACATTCTCTATTCAAATCAGCACTAAATAAGTAAAAATTCATTTTAGAGCCTTTGGAAAATTAGAACACATTTTTTCATTATTAATGGGAAATGACAAACTCACGAGCCTACTTGTGCAAATTTCCTGATTCATCATCTTAATGTAATAGTCCTGGAGGCAGTGGCAGCCTTAAGTAAAACTGCCATTTTTGTAGAGAAAGATTATTGTAGGTTGCTTGGATTATTATGCTTTGGCAAAAGGATGCAAAAAGAAAATGCTTTGTCAACATGAAGCTTAAAGGAAATACAATGACCAGCATGGAACATAATCAGATTCACAAATTTATCTTCAATTATTTTATACATGTTTTCAAATTTTGTCTTCCAACAACATTTTTTTCCTGATTACAAAAGCAAATCATACTTATTGAAAAGATTTTGAAAATACTGAAAACCAAACGAAAAGCAAAAATAATCATCCGTAATCTCATCATCTAGAGATAATAACTGTGTAAGGAAGGTAATGGATGGACTCTGACGTCAGACATCTTGGATACAACAAGTCTTTTCTACTTCCTATTTTTCTACTTCTTTAAAAGTTGGTTAACTGACCTTTCTATTTTTCAGCTTTTCCATCTATAAATTGGGGATAACAGCAGAATTCACCATATAGGATTGTTGTGAGGTAATGCACTGAAAGTCTTTAGTAGACCTTGGCAAATGATAAATATTGAATCTACTACTTACTGTTGTTACTTCATTAATCTTTTTTTAAAGCATATATTTCTATTTATAGTTAAGAACATATTATATACTTTTTTTTCACTTAATATCATATCGTACACATTTTCTTGTGTAAATCATTGCCCACATTACCAATTGTTTCCTTAAGAGAAATTTTCCGGTTATCCCAGGCCAACTGACGGCAGCCCACTTGGCTTACAGGAATATTCTAGCAGGAAATGATAGATTCTGGGATTTTAATCTTCCAACCATGACCTGATGGGGAATATCATGTGCCTCTTTGGTGTGATCATTAAGCTCTGTAGGAGTTCAGCGAGGGAGGAGATACACAAGGTGATAGGGGAGGGCTCTGGAGCCAGATCACATTTGAATCTTGGTTCCATAACTTGGGCAATATATTTAACTTCTCTGGGACTTCTGTACAGTGGGGTAAAAATAATACCTATTTAATGGGGTGGTGAAAATGAACTGGTTTAATATCGAATCCTGACACATGGTAAGCACTTAATAAAATTAGCTCTTATTGTTTGTTATTATGTTCAACACTTTGTTTTTATGATTAAATGAGAGAATGGCAGTGATTTTCACAAGTAATGTGAGAATGTGAGTTGTAAGACATAAGATAGGACAATACATATATTTTTAGTGTAAATTGTTATTTTTCCCCTATTTCAAATATAACAAGTAGTCATCTGTTGTAAATTTATTATCCAAAGGACAATATAGGAAGAGGCATTTGATTTAATAAGCCTTATGAGGAGATTTTAATAATTTTCTTCAGTGATTGAAAAATGGAATGTGATTTTTATCCAAATTATTCTTGTTAAAAGATGAATATGCTTTATGTTCTTTTTTTGCATCTTTTTTAAAGAATGCATCTTTCAACTAACATCTTTTTAAATTTTTTATTAGTTTCAGAGGTAGAAATTAGTTATTTATCAGTCACGTATAACACCCAGTGTTCATTCCATCAAGCACCCTCCTTAATGCCCATTACCCAGGTACCTTATCCCACATTCACCTCCCCTCCAGGACCCCTCAGTTTGTTTCCTAGAGTTCAGCGTCTCCCTCTCAATTTTCATTTTATTTTTCCTTCCCTTCCCCTATGTTCATCTGTTCTGTTTCTTAAATTCCACATGAGTGAAATCATATGGTATTTATTTTTCTCTGATTTATTTCGCTTAGCATGATACCCTCTAGTTCCATCCACATCATTGCAAATGGCAAGTTTTCATTCTTTTTGATGGCCGAGGAATATTCCATTATATATATATTCCACATCCTCTTTTTCCATTCATCTGTCAATGGACATGTGGGCTCTTTCCATATTTTGGCTATTATGGACATTGCTGCTATAAATATTGGATTGCATGTGCCCTTTCAGATCACTATGGTTCTGTCCTTTAAATAAATACCTTGTAGTGTGATTGCTGTGTCACAGGCGAGCTCTGTTTTTAACTCCATACCATTTTCCAGAGTGGCTGCACCAGCTTGCATTCCCACCAACAGTGTAAGAGGGTTCCCCATTCTCTGTGTCCTCGCCAACATCTGTTGATCCCTGAGTTGTTAATTTTAGCCATTGTGATCAGTGTGAGGTGGCATCTCCTTGTGGTTTTGATTTGTATTTCCTGCATGTGGAGTGATGTTGAGCATTTTTCATGTGTCGGCCATTTGTTTGTATTCTTTGGAGAAATATCTGTTCATGTCTTCTGTTTATTTCTTGACTGGAACTTTATTTTTTTGGGTGTTGTGTTTGATAAGTTCTTTATGGATTTTGGATACTAGCCCTTTATCTGATAAGACATTTACAAATATCTTTTCCCATTACATAGGTTGTCTTTTAGTTTTGTTGACTGTTTCTTGTTCGGTTAGTTCTTTTTAAAGTTAAATTTAAGCAGAACCCCTGTAAATAATAATACCAGCACTCATAGAATGGTTAGTATATACTAAAGAATGGTCTTGGTATTTTAAAATATCTGTTCATGTCTTCTGTTTATTTCTTGACTGGAACTTTATTTTTTTGGGTGTTGTGTTTGATAAGTTCTTTATGGATTTTGGATACTAGCCCTTTATCTGATAAGACATTTACAAATATCTTTTCCCATTACATAGGTTGTCTTTTAGTTTTGTTGACTGTTTCTTGTTCGGTTAGTTCTTTTTAAAGTTAAATTTAAGCAGAACCCCTGTAAATAATAATACCAGCACTCATAGAATGGTTAGTATATACTAAAGAATGGTCTTGGTATTTTATTTGTATTTATTCATGTGATACTTAAAATGTCCTATGAATAAGATTCTGTTATTGTCTCCGTTTATAGAAGAAAACTGAGGCACAAAGAGGTTAAATCACTTGCAGGTTATACAACTAGGGAGAAAATTCTGTCGTATGTAGTCATGCTCCAAAGCCCATGCTTTTAACCATTCCGCTATGTTACTTAACATCCCAGTGGAAAAAGAGTCATAATTGATTAAATACAGTACAATATGTTTACAGTGAGTTTGTTAAACTAAGAATTTGATTAACAGTACATTCCAAGAGTAAATTTTTTGAAATTCATCTATTTTGTGGAAATGCATTTACAAAAGTTTCAATTACTCTTTTTTTCCCTTTCAGTTTTTCAGTTATGGAACACAAATGTTGTATCAAAACAATGAAGCTTTTCAGTCTAAATTCTTCCCACCCCTTCAAAAAGCGATGCTACCGCCCAATAGTTTTCAAGGAAAAGTGGCATTTATTACAGGAGGAGGTACTGGCCTTGGTAAAGGAATGACAGCCCTTCTGTCCAGCCTGGGTGCTCAGTGTGTGATAGCCAGCCGGTAAGTCATGGTCAGCAAATTGCCTGACAAGAGTCTATTATAAAATAGTTCTGTGCCATGATATTGAAAACACCGTTTACCAGAGTTTTTTTATTTTAATTTTCTATGAAATATCCTTTAGATTATTTAAACAAGTTTCCTTGGAAAAATCAGTTATAATTTGTAATGCTAGAAATACAGATGGACCATGATTTACATTGATTTCAATTTAGGATTTTTTGACTTTACAATGGTGTGAAAGTGATACACATTCAGTAGAAACTGTACTTGGAAATTGGAACTTTTCCCAGACTAATAATATGTGGTAAGATACTCTTTCATGATGCCAGCAGTGCATTTCAGCTCCCAGTCAGCCACTTGGTCATAAGGGTAAGGAAATGATAATATTCACACCCATTTTGTACCCGTACAACCCTTCTGTTTTTTGTTTTTTTTTTTTTTTAAGATTTTATTTATTTATTCATGAGAGACGGAGAGAGGCAAAGACACAGGAGAGGGAGAAGCAGGCTCCCTGTAGGGCGCCCGATGTGGAACTCTATCCCGGGTCTCCAGGATCACACTCTGGGCTGAAGGTGGCGCTAAACCGCTGAGCCACCCAGGCTGCCCTGCTTTTTCACTTTCAGTACAGTATTCAATAAGTTTACACGAGATATTCAATAATTTATTATAAAACAGGCTTTGTGTCAAATGATTTTGCCCAGCTATAGGCTAATGTTAATCATTAATGTAAGTCAACCTGGCTTAACCTCAGGCCAGGTTAAGCCATGATGTTTACTAGGTCAGGTGTATTAAATGCATGTTCGAATTATGGTATTTTCAACTTACGATGGATTTACCAAGGATGTAACCCCATTTTTAGGCTGAGGAAGATCAGTAATGATTGATTATGAAATTGATGATGTATATATTAACCAAATTCAGTGATAGAATTTTTTTTCCTTAAACCTGAAGCTTAAGTTAAAAAGTACTGTATTGAGGCTGCTTTGTTTTCAGTTAGGAGTGATTATAGTTACTGCTTCAAAGGATAGTTAGCCTTGTACTAAGATAATGGGCATAACCCTTCCATTTTCTATAAGACGGGCAGATGTTTCAAAACGTCTATTGTGATAAATGTAGGAAGGATAAGGCGATGTAGATGGAATTTCTTATTTAGGCATATCCTGGGACCCTATAACAGTGTAAGTCTAGAACTTTAGAGACAGGCCCCAAAATCTACAACTTCCTTTTATTTTGAAAAGTGCAAAATTTTTAGATAGGCTGAATAGGAATCTGAATGACAAGTCACTATGTAATTTACAAAGGCCCAAAGGAACTACTTTCAGATGTTTCCTTTAATGCAAATTGGCCTGAACATTTTTTAAAAATATTATAGTGTTTTTACAAATATTAAAGTATTATTTTCTTTGTAACACTACATATTTCATATTTACGGTTTCTTTTTCGTGTTTCTTTCAAGAATGTGAAACTGAATGCATATAATGCTTTTATATCTTTAAATTTGGTCTAAAGTCTACTAACATAAATCTTATACATAGCAGATTTTATATAGTATAATGTAAGTTTACATTATATCATGAATGTGTTTTCTTTCTAAAGCAGGTTTGGGCAAGGGAACAGAAGTGATTATATATTAAGGAAATAATTTTATTTTATTTTTTTCATGTTTCAAGTCTTTATTTAAATTCTAGTTAGCATATAGTATAATATTGGTTTCAGGAATAGAATTTAGTGATTCATCACTTATATATAACACCCAGTGCTCATCTTAACAATGCCCATTATTTAGCTCATCTACCCACCTCCCCTCAAGCAACTCTCAGTTTGTTTTCTATAGTTAAGGATCTCCAATGGTTTGCCTCCCTCCCTCTCTCTCTTTTTTTCTATGTTCATCTGTTTTGTTTCTTAAATTCCACATGAGTGAAATCATATAGTATTTGTCTTTCTTTGACTGACTTATTTCCCTAGCATAATAATACTCTCTAGGTCCATCCACATTGTTACAAATGGCAAGATTTCATTCTTCTTGATGGCTGAGTAATATTCCATTATGCGTATGTGCACGCGTGCACTCACACACACACACACACACACACACACCACTCCTTGTTTATCCATTCATATATATATATATATATATATATATATATATATATCCATTCTTTATTCATACCCCACATCTTCTTTATCCATTCATCAGTTGATGGACATTTGGGCTCTTTCCATAATTTGGCTATTGTTGATCCACTGCTACAAACAGTGGAGTGCATGTGCCCCTTTGAATCAGTATTTTTTATTAAGGAAATAACTTCAAATTTGTGAGTAGATATAAAATAATTAGTTTAAAAGTAAATAACTCAGTAATTGAATATTAGATATATAAAAATTGTACTAATTTAACTTTTAGAAAGTGAATTCATTCAAGCTGACTGTAGATACAGCTTTTGCTTTTTGTCAAAATTACATCAGTTTAAGCTATAGATTCTCTTTGTTTTTTAATTTATGGAATTAAAAAGATGAAAAATATGAACTTATTTCAGAGCTTACACAAAGTACCATGTGCTTTATTTCTAGAAACATTGACGTTTTAAAAGATACCGCGGAACAAATTTCTTCTCAGACTGGAAATAAGGTAAAAGAGTTATTTAATTCAGATATAGGAATTAAAACATGCTTAAATAACTTATTCATGTTTTTAGTTTAAGAAGTCTGAAAAATTTAGGATTCTCTTTTCTTCCTGATATTTTTCAGGTTCATGCAATTCAGTGTGATGTTAGGAATCCTGAAATGGTGCAAAAGACTGTGTTGGAATTGATCAAAGTTGCAGGACATCCTGCTGTAAGTGTAATGGTGTTGAGGCCAAAGTATGAGGTGTTTGATGTTGATGACACCCACCAAGATGTGCTAAGGATGCACTAAGGGAATAAAATATTGATGTGAGCAAGTGCTGTGTTGAGAAGCACCTATTCTCTGTCCTTAGCAAAGAGCTGGCTTTGCTCAGAGCAGCGAACAGATTAGGTGAACTGTTACACCACTGCCTTTCGGAAATACTTAAAAAATGCATTTACAGTTGTATAGAACAAACCTGATTTCACTTTATGTAATAAGATTATGAAATAAGCAGAGCAGTTATCCAAGGGCATAATATCTAGTTTAAATGATTCATGCGCTTTGCTTTTCCTAATAATTTTGGATTATCTCTATCAATAGAGGAGAATGATACAAGTAAAGAAATCTCTAAGATACTGCAGATTTTTTCTTTAAGACCAGAGATGTGCATAGGCATTTTTGCTGTTGTTTTGGTTCATGTATTGGAAAGAAGCGATTTCTTCCAATAGTCTCTCTTTTTTTTTTTTAAGATTTTATTTATTTATTCATGAGAAATACACAGAGAGAGAGGCAGAGATACAGGCAGAGGGAGAAGCAGGCTCTATGCAGGGAGCCGGATGTGGGACTCCATCCCGGGACTCCAGGATCACGCCCTGGGCTGAAGGCAGACGCTCAACCGCTGAGCCACCCAGGCGCCCCAAGAGAGGACTGTTCTAACTTAAAGTTAGTTTCAGAGAGACCAGTAATATTGAATCTGCTAGTAGAACTAAGAAGAATCTTTATCGATGGTGAGGAAACATGTTATCAACCAAGAATTTCATTGGGTTAAATTAAGCCAACATGTCACCAGAAATTAAAAGACATTTTGAGATTCCTTGAAATACAGTTAGACAAATGGTAGATATGCTTAGTCCACATTTGTTTTCTTAATGATAGATTCTATTGTGATTTTGAGACAAAGATAGGATTCTGAAATTTGGTAAATTGGTGAGATTTTCACAGGCTCAAAAAATAAAACCAAACCAAATCCCATGGTATTATTTTATAGCACACTATCAACTTTAGCTTTATCGTATTATTTGGGTTAATAAGTTTCAGAAGTAAAAAGCTCTTCAGGGAAAATGTTCTTCCTTCTATAACTTCTATAGAAATTTCTATAACTTGCCTTATTCATCTATTAGATTGTGATAAACAACGCAGCAGGGAATTTTATTTCTCCCACTGAAAGACTCTCTGCTAATGCTTGGAAGACCATAACTGACATAGTTCTAAATGGTACTGCCTATGTGACGTTAGAAATTGGAAAGCAACTAATTAAAGCACAGAAAGGTATGTTGATTAATTTTTCATGTGTTTATTGGGTCCTTAGTACACACACGTTCCGTGATAAGCCCTGGGATATTTATAAAAGTCAATAAGACATAAAAGTCAATAAGACAGTGTCGATACCTGTACAACTCATAGTCTAATGGAGAGGAAAGATACTGAGGTGATTATCACATGCTATGATATGAGCTATAATAAATATATATTTCATGTGTGTGGGAAACCCAGAGACAGGAACAACTAACTCTCCCTAGCGATGGTTATCAGATTGAGGAACAAGATGCAATTTGAGCCGAATTTCCAAAGATCTAGATGTGGGGAAGTGGGGCAGTGGGGGAAGGAGGGTGGGAAGTCCATGGAAAGAGACCTGCTAGAGGAGTAAAACAGGGTTTAGAGACTGATGCAAATTTGATGTGGTTAGAGATGAGGAGGAAGAAGAATGGCGGGAAATGATTATGGGGAGGTGGTTTGGGTATAACTGGGAAAGTTCCCAGTACCAAAATAGAAAATTTGATGTTAATTCTGAAGGAAATGGGGAGAGATTTCCTTATGGATTTCTCTTGAAGCTGTCTCATGAAGAATGTGACTTGATTGGAAAGCATACTGGCAACAATGTGGGGGAATGGAAAAGATTAGGAAGACATTCCGAAGGGTTTGACTTTTCCTTTGGTATGTGGCTGGATGACATAGGGGATAAATTAGGAGACATTTAGCAGACAAAATCAACAGGCCTTACTGATTAGATGAGAGAGTTTGTGCTGAGTGAATAGTTTGGATGATGGT